ATACTATACCTTAGGAGGACCCTCCCACCCTGTAATAGTGGTATACTAGGAATATAAGAGGACCCTAATATAATCACCATTATCCCTTATAGTCACTATTACTGGGTGGGGGCTCCACCTAAACTATACCCTAAACCCTAAACCCTAAACTATACCCCATTGGAGGATGTCACTCCATTGAGATGCCCCAGGAAAAGTCAACTCAATCAGGGCTTAGGCTTGGGGTCTTAGGGGTTTAGGGTTTAGGGTTCAGGGTGCAGGGTTTAGGGTGTAGGGTGTAGGGTTTAGAGGGCTTCAGGGCCCGTATAACGGTAGTAGGATTGGGGCTTCCGGGGCCCGTTTAATGGCAGTAGAGTTAGGTCGAATTTATGTGAGCTATAGTCTAATCTCCAAGTATCCCCCCTTAGTATCCCCTATAATAATCCCCTATAAAGCCCCCCTCAAGGAGTTTAGCCTGTAAGTCTGTCTCTTTTTGGGGTAACCAGCTGGTGGGCTACCTTGGAAGCGCCGTTGATGTTTGGAGCTTTCTCAAATGTTTGTTCCTCTTTTTGAACTTCTCTAAACACTATCCGGGGCGGAACTCCCTGAAACGGGATCTCAAAACAATATCCGGGGAGGAACTCCCTGAAACAGGATTCACGACTGATGGACTATCTGGAACCTAAATCCAACCCTACCGCCCTAAAAGTCTAAGCCCTGCACCCCAACCTAACTGCTGAGGTCTCTTTCCGGCGGAGGGTTATCCAACCGATTGCCAGGATGGTGCCGAGTGGAGGACATAGGGTAAGGAGAAACAAGCCCCAAACGGCTAAAGGTTACCCATTCGGTTCCTAAGTTAATCAGGGCTACACATTAAACCCTGGATTTCAGCTAAAACCTAAATCCTAAGCCCGGAAGGAACATTAAACCCTAAACCCCGAACCCTAATGCTGAAACCCTGAAGCCTAAACCCAGGCTTTGAGAAAGCTGCCTACGAATGGGCTCACAACAGGCACGTCACTTTTTTGCGTGCAGGTTGCAGCTCCAATAAATTCCAGCTAATAAATTCCGATCTACGATTTAGGGTTTAGGGCTTAGAGGAATAGGGTTTGGGGTTTCGGGCTTAGGGTTTTGGTGGTTAGGGCTTAGCCAGCATGGTCAGAACCCGAAAAGGGCATGAAATCCCCTCTTCAAGACGATCTCTACGCCCTATAGCCCCCCTTAAGTAGATAGAATATGGCTTTGGGTATATTACAATAAGATCCCCGTATACCCCATATTCTATCTACTTAAGGGGGACTATAAATCTTAAACCTTAAGCCCTGAACCCTAATCAAACTTTTTTCAAGCTGTGATAGAGCTTGGATAGCACGAGCGCCTCTCTGTCCTTGGCCGGCTGATTGGTGTTATTAGGGTTTGGGGAATTTAGATTTCGGGGTTAAGGTTTGGGGTTTAGAGTTTGGGGTTTAGAGTTTGGGGGGGTTTAGGGTTCACGGTTTGGCTCAGCACAGATCGGCGTCTGCTGCGAGAACTAGCACAAACCTATCCAAAACCCTGCATCCTATATCCAAAGTCCTAAACCCTAAGCCGTAAACCCAACCCCGTCACGCTCGACCTAGCAATCGAACCCAAAAATTGACATGAGTATATGGGGTAGTTCCCGAAATCAGGGTCCCATTTTGGTGCCTCTGAATTTTACTTGCCGTGCTAACTCAAGGGGCTCCATAATTTTGAGAAAAGCCCATCTAGCCTGCATATACACCGAAGGATTTCTCTCTGCCCTAGAATGCATAGGGAAGGGTTAGGGTTTAGGGCTTTGAGAGCTGTCTGAGCGTGGGTCGTGCAGATTATAGGGGCCCTCATGCGACTCTAGAGCATGGGTCAGCAACAGCCGCCCATGTTGCCTATGGAAACCCGCTTCGGGTTTCGGCTTTAGGGTTTAGAGCCTACCTAAACCCTAAACCCTCTGTCGCTTGCCAGCTCACATCCACCCTCACATGGACATGCTGCTAAGGCCCCAGGAGCAGAAGATCATAAAACATAAGCCAACAACCTTCTCCCAAAGCCTAAACCCTAAACCTTAACCCTTCAACCCTAAACCCGTCCCAGGAACAAATCCTCACCTGAATTTCAGTTAGCCCCAAAACCCTAAACCCTAAATCCTGAACCCTAAGCCCTACAGTAGGGTTTAGGGATTAGCTTTCCTAAGCCCTAAATCCCAAACCCCATCCCCAACTGAAGCCAAGTATCTGCAACAAGAGCCCTGAGGCCGCCGGTCCCGCCTCCATTCCTTTGAAAGGGATTTCTTGGTAGGGACGCTGCAGAAGGCGCGGTGCCATGTACCTCACTCTGTGGGCTGCATGTTTGGGGTTTAGGGGCTAGCAAATTCTCGAACTTTTTCTGAAATGCAGCTGCTTTTGAACTCATTTTATGTATAATATGAAGTTTCCCAGAATAAGGGAACCCCAATATAGACACCCCAATATACTATAGTCCTTATTATGGGGATCCCCAAAATGGCACCCTGGAAACCCCCATATACTTTAAAACACCATTCTTGAGGGAGATTCCCTTCCTTTCTACTTCTTGGAGCATCCTGGGACTTGGTAAGTATATGTCTAAGGGTTTCAGGATTTAGGGTTTAGGGGAACCCCACTTATCCTCAATATTAGCCTATTTGCTTAGCCCACCATGGCCCTCCAGCAATTATCGGAAAATGCTGCATGCAGAGGTGTTGCGCTTAGATTTTCGAAGTCCGCAACCTCTTCCAACTCCTCCTGCTCCTCAATGGATTCCAAGGGTCGGAGGGCACGCTCCGCGTCAGAGAGGAACAGAATTTCTTCATGGACCTCCTTGAATTGTACACTTTTGTGTCTTCGCATCGTATCGGAGTGCGATACATCCTTGCCCTCAGTACCTAAAAGTTCCGGCATGATGGACAGACTGGATTCGACGCTTGTGGGCCGCTGCCTCTCCAGGACCATGCGCCTGGAAGACAGCAAGCAATGCCTGTGCGGCGCCTGTGGGTGTTTTCGTGGCGCCGAAGGCCTTTGCGGGATACGTTGGGACATCATGAGTGGAGCTCACGCAGGGATTCTGCTGAGCCGCGCAGCAAGGAAGGAATAACCGCCTTGTGCTTGAGCCGTAACATTGGCAAGGTGGAAGATGCAGACATCAAGACAGTCATGCCGTGTGCAACCTAAGGGTTTCGGGTGTAAGATATAGGCTTTAGGGTTTAGGGTTCAGGGTTTAGCCCTGAACCCTAAGCACTAAACCCTAAACCCTAAACTAGGGTTCAGGGCTTTGTTTTTTTTTTCTATTATTTACTGGGTTGCTGTTAAGGAACTTATTTCAAGTTACTATATTGGGGAAACCCTATTATTTACTATATATACCCATTATGGTAACTTAATTTAAGTTCCTTAACAGCAACCCAGTTTATGCTCAGTTCTGGGTGCAGGATATCTTGCACCCTCTTGTATAGGGATCTTCGGAAAGTCGGATCTTTTTGTGGTAGGGTTGAGGGTTTTAGGGTTTAGGGTTTACGGTTTAGGGATTTAGGGCTTTTTTAATTTAGAGTTCCTAAGCCGGCCTTAAAGTATTTCGGGCACCTAAACTGGGGCCCCGATCTTGGAAACTTCATGCACCAGTACCCTTAATGACAATAGTGTCGGGATCCTGAAACCTTAAACCCAAGATCTCCTCCAAAAGATCCACACACAAATGAGGGGTTTAGGGTTTCGGGCACCAAAAAGCTGAAAATCAGTAGGACGCTCCTTACTTGGAGGATCCGCGGGACTGAGTAAACAGAATGTTAAACGCCGAAAGCCCATAAGCTAGCCCCCAGCTATCCCCATACTCAACCTACCGTCTAAGTTCCCCTGACCCTGAACTTTAACCTAAGACCTAAGACCTCTCAAATAAATCCGAGTCATGGCTCCGCAACTAACTGGGGGTGTATCTTCAAGGCCTGCAAAACAATGTGTACTGGGAGGTTCGAAGTTGGGTCAATGCCCCACCCAGTAATGGGTACCGCAAGGGGCTATTGCTCTAGTTTGGAATACACACCAGAAAGAAAGTATAGTTTTTTTGGTATAAGTTGTTATAATAAGAACCAGGAACCGAAAATGTATCAAAGTGTAGTACTCCAATATTGGGATTGCTGTCGGCATCTCAAAGCTGGATGAACTCCATATGTAGGGGTTTTTCCTGTAGGGGGGATTTACCTAAGCTTTAAGGTAACCATCACTCAATTAGCACTGCACTTATGGCCATATACTCCCCTAGCTGACCTGACCATTTCGAAAGTCTCATACTTCCGGTCTAAACCCATACATCCTACACCCTAACTGCTAAGCCCTGAACCCTAGACCATCCAGCTTTGAAAAGACAACCAAAACCACCATCAGGGCCTCAGCTATTGCGGCTTGCGTGATACCTGGTTTAGGGTTTAGGGTCTGAGGCATGGAACCTCCCTATTATCCCCTAGGTTCCCCACTGTAGTATTGGGATCATTTGGGGGTAGTTCCATTTCTTGGATCCTCTAGGGGGTCTGAGAAGCAGGCTGCTGACCCAGAATCTTAAAGACAGCTAAACATTTTGTCGTTACCCTACTGTCAGAGAGTTTTCCGAAAACCCTCAACACTAGGAATGCCTTGTCGGGAGCACTCCCGCGCCCTAATCTTGAACAGGGGCCGCTAGGGTTTAGGGATTGGGGTTTAATATAGAAGTGGGCTTCGCAATCCCAAACCCTTCACTGAACTTGGCTTAAATTTCTAATTGTTATCATTCCCATAATAAAAGAGATCTTTCGAGGGACCCGTATTGTAATTGGAACAGCACTGTAGGGACCTTGAATTTGCGGAAATCCCCATATTGAGTACCCAGAGATGGGTGTGTCAAAAGCAAGGGTTTAGGGTTAAGTCTTCAGGGTTAAGAGTTTAGGATTTAGGGTTTAAGGTGTAGATCTTAGGGTTTGCGGTGGTACGCTTTCTTTGAGATAGGAACACCAGTCACCAGAGCTATTGTGCTACATCTGCAGAACACTGCAGCCCCCTAGAAGGTGCCTCAAAAATCTACAGTCCTCGAGCACGGCGAGACTGTGGCGCAACACTGAACCCCGAACCCAAACCCTAAACCCCTAAACCCAAATACATAATACAGCCATACATCGGGGGAACATTTGCTTAGGGCTGGGGACCCTAGATCCCTAAACCCTAAACCTTTCAACCCCATCCCCGCATCCAACGCTCTGCTCCTCGTCCTAGACATCATGGCTTCAATGTGTCAGGATACAGCTAGATTTTTGGGCTTGTAGGAATTTAAGTTTGTGAGCTTCAGGGTAACCGAAGAGGCGACAGGAAGAAACTAGAGCGATCGCATCCCAGGATGTTAGCGCCACGATTCAGATTTCTCCAAACTCCTTGCATCCTCCTTAACAAGACCTACAGTAGTTCCCAAGAAAACCCCTGTATAACCCGTTTTCAAGAGTTTAGACTATGGTTCCTATGTTTGGGGTGAGCGCTAAGCCCTGAAAGCGCGTTCTGAGCGGAAGGGTTGACCTTTCTTGCTCTTCTAACACTGAACCCCCAAAACTTCTAAACTCCAAACCCTGAACCCTAAACCCTAAACCCTGAACCCTAAACCCTAAACCCTAAACCCTGAACCCTAAACCCTAAACCCTAAACCCTGAACCCTGAACCCTAAACTCCAACCAACCCTCAGCCTCCCTAAGCCCTCTATACAAAGAAAGGATCCTTCATGCAATCATGGGAGACCGTTCTCCCCCCAATAAAAGAAAAGAGTATCTCTAAGGTTGGAACTATGGGCCCCATAGAACCCCAAACCCTTAACCCCTAGTATGGGCCCTTGATTCTGGGATCCTCAAAAGCCTACCACCTTAAAAGTAGCCTGAAGGGTGCCCCTCAGAGGCCTCAGATCTTCATGTTAAGGGCCCGTACTTCTAAGTTGAGAAGGGTCCCTAGCTCCCAACGGTTCGGGGTGTATGACTCTATAGGGTTTACGGATTTAGGGTTTTGGATTTCGAGGTTTAACGGCTTATGGCCTAAAACCAAAAAGCCCCCAAATCCCCCACACCTTCACCCCCCCAAAAGCCTAAACCCTGAACCTCAAAAGCTTCGAGGCATCTGCTTCGGTCTTGAGGCGGCCCGAATGAAGCATTGACTAGGGCTGTCCTGGAGTTCGCGGGGGTGTAAGGGGATAATCAAGGCGAACTAAATCCCCAAACCCTTAACCCCAAACCCTAGTTGAGTTTACATTAGGGGGAACTAAGCGGGGAGTAGTACGGGAACCCATGGAGTTAGGAGCTTATGGTTTAGGATTTCAGCTTGAGGAGTATTGGGTTCGGCTTTAGGACTTTAGCGTTGAGGGTGGGCGGTCAGCATTTGGGTGGTTGTCAAAATTATGGTCCCTTTTTGGGTACCTTAAATATTAGGTGCCGTATTATAATAAGGATCCAAAAAGGGACCATAATTTTGACAACCACCCATTTAAGCGTTAGAGTTTCGGAGCCGGAGATGTACGAGTCCAGGGCCTTGACTTTAGGGGCGTAGGGTTCAGGGTCTAGGCGTTTAGGGTTAAGGTTTATGAATTTAACATTTGAATTTATAAGTTTAGGGGTAATTCTGAAGCTTAGCAGGGATTAGCAATTTTGGCGTGGGGTTTGGGAGTTTCGGCGTTAGGGTTCGGGAGTCTATGACTTCGGGTTTAGGAACTTATGACTTAGGGCGTAGGGGTCTAGAGTCATTCAGCTTTCAGAAGTTTAAGGGTTCAGGGTTTACGGTTTTAGGGTTCAGGGTTAGAATTAGATTAAGGCTTATGGCTTCGGAGCTTTGGGCGTTTAAGGTCAAGGGGGACGACGGCTTCAGGCTTCTAGTTGAAAAATAGAAGGGCTGTGCGGGAATGATTTGGGGGTTTAGGGTTTAGGGTTTGGGGTAGAGTTCAGGGTGTATTGAATTCAGGATTCAGGGACTGGGGTTTTAGGTATTGGGGTCTTGGGTTCAGGGTCTAGGGATGGGCCTACGGCATTCATATTCCGTTCCCGTGCGTGGAAGCCAACCGATGTTGTTCCTGCAGTTCTCTCCTGCAAGTATAGACCCGAAACCAGAAACTCCAAAATCAAAACATTCCGAATCTGACCTACGCCCCACACCTTCTTCACTTCTTGGTGGATGTTGTCCTCCTTTGTTTTCTTTAACTGCCTGTTCTTGACCATGAGGATCTTGCGTTTTCTGCTCGTTCTATTGGATGGCAGCCGCTCTGTCGTCAATGCCTTCTCCTGCTGCCGAGGCTGGCCCTCGTCCACATCATTAGGGTTTAGGGTTTAGGGTTTAGGGTTGGCCCTCGTCCACATCAGTGTCGTCGTCCACAGGCACGACCGGCTGCTCGGCTGGCTTGGGTTCCTGTGCCCATGACATCTTGTGCAAATGCGCATCTTCTCCTGCGTCTTCTTCCAAACCTCGCCAGCTTTTGATAAGCACCCATTTGCATCTACGCTTCGCAATTCGGCGCTTGAAGGCTAAGGGCGTTGTGTAGCCCCCTAAACCCTAAACCCCAAAGCCTACAGATTTGACTTGTCCATGCCCTCTGCCCGTGGATCTGTTTGTGGCTAAAGGGTGGATCCTGTAAACTGCTCTAAGTCGGCAAGACACCAAACACCAGTTCTCAATCCTAAACTCTACCGGAGGGAATTGAATAGGTTCACACACAAGGATAGAAGAAGAATCTTGCAGCCAGTCAGTTTTCACGGTTAGGTTCACCTTTAAACCCGCACCTTGCAGTTTTTGGAGCTACAAAACTTAAACCTAAACCCTAAACCCTAAACCCCAGCATACTCATGCAGTTGTTTAAAGCTACAGCAAGACAGTAGCTGTACAGGCGCAATTTGTTGTGGGTTCCTTCAAAGGGGGGGCAGGGTTCAGGGTTTTGGGTCTAGGGTTTGGGGTCTAGGGCTTAGGGTTTAGGGTTTGAATTCAAAACTTGTCATACACATGTTCGGAAGGGCAAAGGTTGTACCCCTACTACTGGAAGTTCCCTGAAACCTGGGTAGGCCCCTGAAATATTTAATGTTTTCCCTAATGGCTTTAATAAGGGACCCTATATACTAACATGTTTCAAAGGGCTTTAGGCTTTAGGGGCCAACCCAGAAACATTTCTTAATTTCTTAACTTCTGTTGTCTATAACCGTAATAGCCAGCTGACATCGTAATTTCCATCTACCAGGGGTCTTGGGAACTTGGAGTCTGGAATGTACTCCCAGGCCCTAAGCCCTAGACCCCAAACCTAAACCCTAGACCCCGTCCTGTCGCCAAACAGCACCCTGAATCCTACCCTCACTTTTTATTCGGAATCTTCCAAAGCGCGGCCCCTGGCGGGCTGTGACGATTTGTGGCTGTAGCCGTCCCCCAAGTGAGGACAGCATCGGAGTTCCCTTGCTACCTTCAAGATTTCCCCTAAACCCTAACCGCTAAACCCCAAACCCTAATCCCTAAACATTGCTGGGTTTAGGGTTCAGGCTTTGAGGTTTCGACTTGAGCACTTACTGGCTCCATATTGGAAGATTTGGGAAAGATTCTGAAGCCTACGGGGAATGAAGCTGGGGCCCTATGCTACCGACTATCCTTGGGGGTCTGATGTCACTCCATGTGACGTTGCACGCGGTGCGTCTTAAATGAAAAGAGTGAGGTTGGTGCATAGTAATGGTGATATTGAAGTCTTATGAGGATTAATTAATAGGGAATAGCACTAGCAATTTTTGTAGCTCATGTGAATGCCTAAGACCTATCTAGAACAGAGCGTCTCGCTCATGGTTCCGTTCCCTGTCGCTCCGGGGCTTTCGCCGTGAGCGTAAACGAGTAACGTCTTTAGATTCCTTATATACGATACTATGCCCCCAAAGAGGACATAATCCTACTCCCTAATGGGTACCATAATATCACCCCAAATAAAACATCACCCAGTTGGGTTGGCAGTTGAGTACGCTGCTCAGCGCCACAAGCAGGAAAACACGGGGGGCGAAGCCGCTACTGCTCCGTGTCTCTGATCTTTTCTCTAAGTTCCATGGAATCCTTGTACCCTAAACCCTAAACCCTATACTACCCTAAACCCTAAATCCTAAACCCTAAACCCTATACCCTAAATCCTAAACCCTAAACCCAAGTTCAGGTGGTTCTTGGATCATAGATAACAGAAATGCAAACAAACCGGGACACTACCAGCCTTCTGTAGCCTAGACATCTCTCAAACCCTTTATCACGCTTCAAAGTTGAAGTGCCTGTAAACCAATCCACCTTTTACCTAATCTTATACATAGGAGAGTCTCGACATAAAGCTAGGTATCTCCAAAAAAGGGTACCCTGGGGATCCAAATTGCCCAAGGTAGGCAATATTTACAGACTTTAGGGCCCAATGTAGGTATTATTTGTATACTCGGATCCCTAGGGGTAGAGTATGGGTATCCAGATAGCTCGTCATCTTTCACTCCCCATGCTCTAAGCCTGAAATCGCAACACCCTGATGCTTACCGTTACATGGGACTTTGCCTAAATTAATGTTTCGCAAGTGGGGGAAATTCATATAGGGAACAGCATTGCACCTCGTAGGACAATAAGTTTAGGGAAATCCCCACATGCTACTAGTTAAATTTTAAGACAGACTAGCAATAGCTGGAAAGAGAATAGGAATAATGTATTTGAGTTTTTTGAATTAGACGAGGATCATGGAGGTCTTTTATCATCGGCAGTTAAGCCTCACAACCATTTCGCCCGCATCCCTTCAGAATATAGAAAGCTCTAAGACCTCTAACCCTCAACCCCTGAACCGTCCAAACATCCTAAACCCTTGCGGCTAGACCGTCTAAGCCCTATACGAGCGCGAAACTCTTCCCGCGTATTTCTAAAACTCCTAAACCTCAAATCCCCTTATCTCTAAACCTAAGCCCTCATCCCTAACCCGTGCCCCTAAACCCCAAAGCCCCCTTACCCCTAAACCCCAATCCCCTAAACCCATAAGGGCAGTAAGGGCCTCTCCATGGTTGTGTTGTTTAGTGGTGATTGGGACAGGTAAGATGATGTTATCCTTGTAAAATTTGGGGTTTAGGGTTTAAGGTTCTGAAATCAGAGGATATAATCTCACTCCATTTGGGGGGGGGGGCCACGCAATCACTAAAACAACGCTGCGAAGAAGCCGTGACCCTATGAATCTTAAAGCCGGCATCTATACATATATGTATATATATATATACACATGCAGGGTTTAGGGTCTAGGGACATGTATGGGCATTAATACACACATATATATATATATATGTAGAACTACACGTGTAATTCCTCAAAGGATTCCCGCTGTCTCTATTCCTCCAAAGTATGCTACGTAACCCCTACATAAGCCCAGTTTCCATTTCATTTTCCATTTTCTTTTCCATTTGATTCTCCCTTATCCCAATATTACCCCAATATACTATTGTTTAACAATAGTATATAATTATTCTGGTT